GCCAGGTTGGTGAGGATCAGCCTGTGCTCTGGGAGCCATGAGCCAGGGCTCCTGCATTCCCAGCCTGGGGGACCGACCCCCCATCTGCTCCATGCTCTGGTTTCCTGCCTGGCCCGCACTGCCTGCCTTGCAGAACGGTGCAGCCCAAGACACCAAGTTACTGGAGGCTCTTTTTTGCCCTTTCAGCTTTGCCCAGGATGTTTCCAACCCTCCCCCTGCGGAGCCGCTGGCCCGTGGCTCAGTGCGGTGCCCAGCAGTGCGGCCTTGGGGGGAGATGCTGGGCTCTCTGGGGACGTGCCCACAGCCCCTGACAGCCAGTAAAAGAGTCCAGCCGTCACCACACTCGAAAGCCTGGGACGGCGGCGGATTCTCCACGCCCACAAGGTGGTTCCCAGCTGCTGCAGCAGGGAGCCTGCAGCCACGGTGGGCAGCACAGCCCCCTTCTTGGAACAGGGTCACAAGGCGACCATTCTCCCAGGGGGACCCATCGGGCACGGCCCAGGTGCAGCTGAGGACTCGGCTGCTCATCACCTGCCTGTTTGGAGGGGCCTTCCTGGGGGTCTGGCTCTACTTCCGCAGGGAAAAGGAGCAGCAGCAGAAGCTGCAGCGCATCCAGGAGCTGAAGAAGCTGTCCCTCGGCCAGGGGGACTTCCAGCTGGTGGACCACACCGGGCAGCCCCGCTCCAAGGCCAACTTCCTGGGCCAGTGGGTGCTGCTCTACTTCGGTTTCACTCACTGCCCCGACATCTGCCCGGAGGAGCTGGAGAAGATGAGCCAGGGAGTGAGGAGCAGCAGCAGAAGCTGCAGCGCATCCAGGAGCTGAAGAAGCTGTCCCTCGGCCAGGGGGACTTCCAGCTGGTGGACCACACCGGGCAGCCCCGCTCCAAGGCCAACTTCCTGGGCCAGTGGGTGCTGCTCTACTTCGGTTTCACTCACTGCCCCGACATCTGCCCGGAGGAGCTGGAGAAGATGAGCCAGGGAGTGCGGCTGCTGGACCAGTCATCACCGTGGACCCGGAGCGGGACGACGGGGCCGCCGTGGCCAAGTACGTGAAGGAGTTCCACCCGCGCCTGCTGGGGCTGACCGGGAGCCCGGAGAACGTGCGGAAGGCAGGCCGGGCCTACCGGGTGTATTACAGTGCCGGGCCCCGGGACGAGGACAACGACTACATCGTCGACCACACGGTGATCATCTACCTGCTCAGCCCCGACGGGCTCTTCCTGGACTACTACAACCGGGGCAAGAGCGAGGTGCAGATCGTCCAGAGCATCAAGGGCCACATGGAGACCTACCGGCGGCTCGGCAGCTGAGCACCAGCAATAAACGCCCTGCTCACTGCTAGGGCAGACCCATGGGCCTGATCTCCTTTCCACTGCTGGGCCGGACCTGGCAAAGCAGGCAGCCCCCTGCCCCTGGGCAGCCAGTGGGTCCCCTCCCCCGGGGCCCTGAGGGCAGGCCGCTCCTCCCTCTGCTGCAGTCAGTGCTGTTCTCTACCTAGGCCTGCCAGCACCAAACACTGCTGCTGCTTTGCAACTCCCAGCCTGCTTGCGGTGCTGGCCTTGCCCCTACCAAAGGCTGGGCCTGCCCTGGCAGCATAGTGAGTGGGAGGGGCTGCTGGTACGTTGAGTTGACCTGGCCTAGCTGGGAGCTGCCAGGGGGCAGGAGGAGAGGTGGAGGCTGCCACGTACCTAAGATTACTCACAGCCAGCCTGGATATTTCTCTGCGCTGGTTGGGGCGGGTATTTCCCAACAAGTCTCTGAGCTGGTGGGTCTGAGGGGCTCAGCCCAGCCCTGGGAGCAGGACACTAATACGGGGGGGGGGGGGCCCTCCCGCCCTGCAGCCTGGGCCTCTACTGACACTGAGTAAAGGTCTCGGCTCCTCTGGGGTGGCCAATACGTTTTGCAGGGGGACAGGTAACTCCACAAATTGTAGCTAGCGGTGCAGGCAGCTCCACCCCCACAAGGGGCCCCTCTAAATGCTAGTGGGGGACAGAGACTTCATGTGCTCCCCTGCCTCGCCAGAGGGCACAGCACCTAGAGGGCACCGCCAACCATTTGGAACAGCTGGCGGATCCCTCTGGACACTGCATGCTCTCCCCACACCCAGGGCAGGGCAGGAGCCAGTACAAAGTCATTCACTGATCAAAAGGGCTGGGGGCTCCCCCCAGGCGCTGTGCACCCCTTGAACAGCGAATGACTTCTCGGGCGCCCCGGCCTTGCTGGGGCCCGTGGTCTGCACCTTTCCCATCCCTGCTCTGAGCCCCTCCCCAGCACAAGTGCACAGGCCAGGCTCAGGCTGTGTATGAGCCAGCGCTGCTCTGGGGGAGAGGAGAGGCAGAGCAGCATGGCCCATAGTGCAGGTGGATTGGGTCACCCCTGCGCAACAGCCAGAGGGAGTGACAGCCACAGAGGTGACACGGGGTCGAAGGGCTGCCGGAGGAGAGTAACAAGACTGGAATGGGTCAGCTTGGACGAGAGCCCAGCGAGGGTGGAACAGAGGCTGGGGGACGCTGCCTGCTGGGGGGCCAGGGAGCCGGGAAGGGCTGTTGCCCAGCCTATAACAGGCACAAGGTCACTCAGCAGGCTGAACACAGGGCCACAGGCCCAGGGGAGGTTGTGAGGCCAAGCGCAGGCCCCGTTCCAAAGGGAACGAGAGAAGTGCCAGCAGCGCGATTGGCCCAGGCTGCAGCCTCATGCACTGAACCTCACGGCCAGAAGCCGACGGGTACCCGAGGGCCAGGTGTGCCCGCAGAGCCCTGGGCCTGACCCCGTGGGTCATTAGGGGCAGGAGCCTGGGGGAAGGGCCATGTCTGTCTTTAGCAGTGCCAGGTGGGAGAGGAGCGGGACAGGAGACGGCCTGGCCCACGAGCGTTTCCACCTACCCGCCAGCCCCGGGCTCCGCTAAAGCACACGCCATGGAGCCTGACCCCTCACCCCCCATCAGAGGGGAAGCTCGTCCCAGCGCCGTATCCAGGGTTTATTGGCATGCAGGTGGAAAGAGCCAGAGCAAAGAGGAAGGCAGAAGGACCCGGCCAGAGGCGGGGGGAAGAAGACAGCAGAGACAGGCAGAGGCTGTACAGAGTTTGCTGCAGGAGGGCAGTATATACACAGGGCAGGGCTCTCGGCACAGCAGCCCCCGGCCGGCACCGTGTGTCCCAGCAAGCCGCAGGTGCTGTCAGTTCGACACGGAGGGGGCCATGTAGGTGCGGAATCGCTCGTGCGCTCGCTCTTGGGTCATGAGGCGCAGCCGCATGGTGTCCACCCCCTCCTCCAGGCCCGGCTGCTGGCCGATCTCCACCGTGTAGTCGTTGGCCTGTAGGGGCGACAGCCGGGGGACTGACTTCCAGCTGTGGGTAGCTCTGGGGCGGGCAGGCAGACAGGCAGCCTGGCCCACAGCAAGGGGCAGGGAGGGGCTGGCTGCTCGCCCTGGAGAGCAGGGTACCCCCAGGGCAGCCTGAGCCCAGCCACTCACCAGCTGCAGCGAGGCCAGCATGTAGCGACACACCTCGAAGGCCGGCTTCCCTGCCACCAGGCTGGCGAAGGAGTGCCACTCGCCCAGGCGCCCGCAGCTCCCCGCCAGCTGGTCCCCATAGCTGTGGATGTCGAAGGCGGCTCGCTCCTCCTGCGCCGATATGGGGAGGGGGGGGTGTCAGACGCTGAGGGGCTGGGGCCAGCCCGCTCACCCACAGCCACTAGCAAGTGGGGGCTGCCTCCTCACAGGAGGGCAATGACTGGCCTGGCAGTCGCCCCCCCAACCCCGTTCTGCAGCTGTCGCTGGCTGCCCCAGGACACAGGCTGCACTGCGGGGGGCAGTGGGTTGGGCAGCTCTCACTCCAGTTTACCTAATGGGGCAGGAGCTGACGGTGGGAGGGGCCCAGGCCAGACAGGGAGCCCTGGCCAAAGCTGCACAGGGCTGGGCAGATGGGAACATGCCCCGGAGCAGTGGCGGGGTGATTCTCGCAACACACCCGCCGCCCTTACTCCCAGCCCACACCAGCCACCCCGGGGCCTTGCCAGCAGCGCCCACCTCTCCCAGGCCTGCAGAGAGCCCAGCCCGCGCTCTGCCCTGCCTCCCCGCCCCCCAGCCACGCTCCGGCCGCACCTGCTCCTGCAGCTTGGGTCCCATCTTGTCCTCCCAGTCGCGGATGCGCTGGGACAGCACAGTCTCACGGGCGTACTTCTGGGAGTTGGCGATGAACAGCTCCTGGGCACAGGAGAGAGCATGAGGGGGGAGGAGGGGGACCTTCCCCACCCCCAGCCCCCCAGCTTGGGGCCAGTCAAACAGCCGTGGGCAGAGATGGCTCCTGCCAGTGTTTCGAGAGTGGCAGGGGGCTCACTCCCCCGGCGGGGGGCCTGCCCCATGGAGCAGCCAGCAGCTCCCCCTCTCTGCTGAAAAGTCCTGGCCTGGCCCTCATGGGCTTTTAATTGCACAGCCCTGAACTGGAGCGGGAGCGGGGGTTCAGACAGCCAAGGGGCTGAGAGACTCCCAGGCTGTCCCTTGAACCTCAGAACCAGTCCAGTGAGCCCCCCAGCAGCCCACTCGTGCCTGGGCTGGAGGGAACAGACACTCATGGCCGTGGCTTCCCAGATGCCATGAGCCACGGCGTCCAGGGAAAGGGCAGTGGGCAAGCGGCACCACAGAGCCAGGCTTGGGCAGGGAGGCCCTGCACTCTGCCCCACGCCCCCCGGGAGGGGGACATACCACGTTTCTCCTCACCAGCTCCTCATAGCTCAGGGAGTCGGGGATCGCGCAGGGGCCTGGAAGTGAAGGGGAAGTTGTAGCTGAGTGCCCCCGGGGCTGCTGTTCCACACGGCCGCCCTGCCCCCTGCCCCACGGGAAGGGCGTGGAGCTTGCTACCTGAGCGCTGGGCGTGCGCGCCAGGCTGGGAACACGCACCACACTGCTACCATCAGTTAGGGGGCACCCACAGAACAGATGGGCCCGACCCAGAGACCAAACCCATCTCCGACGGCAGCACAGAAGTGGGGGGGGGCAAATCCATGACCCCTTCTGGGGCAGGAACCCAGGGTTCCAACACCCTGAAGCCTCAGATGGAATCATCGGACAGCGTGCGAGTGACCGATTTTAAAACCCCGTCCCTGACGTTAAAATGGACCGTGAATCTGGTAGGGCCGTGCTCACCGCTAACCAAACTGCAAGCCCTGGAGACTACAGGTCCCAGCATGCAGTGCATCTTACAATGGAGCAATGCATGCTGGGATACCACCCATGTCCAGCTACGCCCAGCCGCTCTGAGTTGCACGTCCTTGCTGTAGCTCCCCGGCTGGGGCCTGCTGCCAGCCCAGGCCCTCGGGGTGAACGAGGCTGCACGGTGGGGATCTGTTGGGACTACGTTACCCAGGTCGCCCTCGGGCAGCTGCTCCGGGGCTTCCGGCTGAATGTCCTCCTGCTCCAGGAAGTCATCTGCAGAGAAAGGGTTTTGGTCAGGGCTGGGGGAGGAGTTCCTGCCCAGAAGGCCGAGCATGGAGTCTCCAAACCAAGGGGAGCGGGAACAGGGGATCCCTGCAGCCTGCTGGATGCTTCACCCCCGCAAGAAAGGAGAAAAGCGTCACACGGCCGATGCCCTGGGCGTGCCGGGGGCGCACAGCCTGGCTGCCCAGCTCAGCACAAAGTGCCCCAGCCTGAATTCTCACTCCAGTTTCAGCAGGTTGGGTCCCCCATAGCAAATGCCTCCTCTCTGAGGGGCGCTTCCTGGCCCTGCCCTCCGGGGCAGGAGCGAAGCCCAGCGGGCAGGATCCCATGCCCAGGGAGGCAACGGCCGCCCCCGGCTTTCAGGAGTACCTGCCCCCCCGTCGTGGTCCAGGTAGTCGTCCATTCGCTCCTGCTCCTCGGCCTCCTCCAGCAGCTCCTCCTCCTGCAGATGCTTCCCCAGCAGCAGCCCCTGGCAGAGGGAACAGGCCCGGCTGTCACCGTTGGCCTCGCTGCGTCGGGCGCCCTCGGGATTTGCAGCACCCAGAGGCCCTGACGGCTTTCAGGAGTACCTGCCCCCCCGTCGTGGTCCAGGTAGTCGTCCATTCGCTCCTGCTCCTCGGCCTCCTCCAGCAGCTCCTCCTCCTGCAGATGCTTCCCCAGCAGCAGCCCCTGGCAGAGGGAACAGGCCCGGCTGTCACCGTTGGCCTCGCTGCGTCGGGCGCCCTCGGGATTTGCAGCACCCAGAGGCCCTGATAGCAGAGCGCCCAGTTTCCACGGGTGGTGCACATCCACATGCACCTCAGTGCATGTAAAAGTTATTCCGCATTTGGATGGAAAACACAAGGGGCAACACTGCAGCCCAGGTGGTCCCTGCCCTGTGCGGGGCAGGCCTGGGAACGATGCCTTAGCCACTGGCCAATCCCTGTGGCTCCCCTGTGTGCTCCAGGGGTGGT